TTTGAGACACACCCATTACACTTCCTCATACTTACCACCATGTCTCTGTCTTCCTGTGCATCAGGACACTTTGTCCTATATGGGCCGCGCTCATTGGTTATCATCCCAGGTAAGCATCTACTATAACTAGTCTTAGAACTTTCATCCTGTTTTATTTGGATGCTTTTAGCCATGTTTTATAAATAGTATAATTTACAGATTCAATCATTTGTTCTGTATACCATCTGACTGATAGTTGAAAAAATACATTTTTGTTATCTTTATATTTTAAATCAGTTTCGATGAAATATGATAGGGATTATTGTTTTGGGGCCAGTTTTCGAAACATTTTGGACATTGGTTTTTTGAAGCAGTGGTAATAATTGATGCTCAAAAATGTGTTAATTGAGAATTTTTCAGCTCACCAACATCAATAACACCAATGCAAGTGACTCATGCTATGTTTAGGCATCTGTCCGTCCATTGTCGATAGGAACGTTTATAGGTCATCTGGCCCAAAAGTGATTGGAGATGAGAAAAAAGATAACTGATAGAGCTCCTATGGGCCTCTTGTTCTTCTCAACAACCTTAAGGCTAAGAGTCTTAAACTATTATAAACAGTAGTATAGTGGAATAAAGGACTTTCAAGCTTGTTTAAATGTATGACCTTGATCCACTTTCAGGGTCACATGGGTCAAAATTTGTTAAAGTAAATTTAAGTGTTTTATGTATAAGTCACACAGGCCTTGAGTCAGTATCTAGTGCCAATGTCTTAAAGTACATTTTCAGATAAACATTTTTCCTGTTTCTTTATTTCAAACTTCCATGTTGTCAAAGCCACTATGGTAAAGTTTATGTTTAAACATACATGATGGCCATTCTGTTATATCAAAGGATTTGCACTTTAATTGATTAATGATAAAGGACTAACAACAATCGCTAGAACGGTTAATGTTTTGACCTGTGGTTTGTTGAACGGCTCTTTATCTCCAAGTTCTTTTACGGTTCCATCAAACTTTATAATTGTCAATTGTCCAACTTGATACAATGGAAGGGTAAAAATTATGTTTGACAAGCATGAGGTTACATAATACAATATAGCTGTCACTTTTCTGTAGGGGTCATATCATTTGTCAACTGTGTGTCCAACCACACACTCTATACTAAACCATCCTATGGAGAGAAATCAGAAATCTTAAAGTTTAAGTATCTTCATTGACATGCATGTTAATCCCCTTTGTAAGCTCGGCAGCAGTGTGGATGTTTCCTGCTGACATCAAGTTTAGTTCACCCGATCATTGTTTAGGTTTTTAACTGTATGCATGATAATTTGATTTATTATTTTCAAGGAGATTCATGCATGGCCGTCAGCGTTGCTGTGACTCGTATTTTCTGTTATACATTTAAAGGCTTTTTTATGAATTCTCTATTTACTTTATTCTCTAGACCTATTTTCAAACTGGCTGTATGTGTTTTACATATTGTTGAATCCTGAATGAATGACAAGTACTTACAATGTTGTTTTATAATTCTTAAACAGAATCGATAATTTATTGATATATATATAGAACTACTTCTTTGAAATCTTGCTGTGGATATTTTTCTGAAAACATGTTTTTTCCATTTGATTCGATGAGGGTATTTGTCATTATTCTTTATATAATGAAATATTTCTTTTCATACTTTATGAAGTTGAATAAAATATCCCATGACAGAAAGGGCTGTAATGTATCTCTATATTTGAAAGATATCGATGTAATTATTATTTTCAAGTCACAAGTCCTACCATAGAATGACAATACATATAACAATTACATTTATGACATTTCAGCATGATGGGCAGGAAAGTTTTACCGAACCTTTTTGGAAAGTTTTTCTTTTAAATACATTGTTTGTTGACTGTTTCAGCACGTCAGAGCAAGATAGAGGAAAAGCCAAGTCTTGACTATGAGGAGATAACTCCATGCCTGAAGGACATCACTAAAGACTGGGAACAGCTGCTCCAGGCAAGCGATCGTCACACCAGCACAATAGAGCCGAGGAAACTGTTAAACTGTGTAAAACAAGGTAATCCCCATCAATAGAGCCGGGGAAACTGGTAAACTGTGGTAAACAAGGTAATCCCCATCAATAGAGCCGAGGAAACTGTTAAACTGTGTTAAACAAGGTAATCCCCATCAATCGTTGTGAACTGTGTTGGACAAGGTAGTCTTCAACAACAGGGTCATCCCCGGACCATTTAGCTGATACAGAGCTGCATCAGCTTAATTGGCCCACATCACCTTAGACTATGAAACATATCACCTTGTTATTTGTACTGAAGCTGGTCTTTTACACAAGAATTTTAGACTAATTGAATCACAGGGCAAAATCAGTCAATGACCTGATCATTGGTCAGTTGGACAGTGGCATGTGCCACATGCATATGGGGCCTGTAAATGTTGGGGAAAGGGGATCACAGGTCATGAAAACTAGTGTCTGGCAAGCATGTTCACTCTGTATAACTTAAAACTCAGCATCTGGTTCAAATAAAGGCTTTTTGGAAAAAATGAAATGAAATTGCAGAAAAGGTAAATATGTTCAACATTTCACTATTCTTAGGTGTTCCAAAGAATCACCGAGGTGACATCTGGTGGCTGTTGGTTGAACAACACCAGCTCCATTACCCCGGGACCCACGCCAACATGCCGTCCCGCGACTACAATGAGCTGCTGCGTGAACTCACTGAGTACCAACACAACATCCTAATAGATCTGGGTGAGTACATAGTGTTTTTACTTACTCCTTCTGTCAAACTCAAGAGGTTTCCAAAGACAGGTGGTTTTCCGTAATAGTTCCTTATTGCTTAAGTATAAAACTCTTCATATGCATTAAGTATCATAAGAGCTATTAGCATTATAGACAGGGAATATTTTTACCATCACTGTTATGTCAGTATGTCCTCCAATAGTGTTAAGTTGTATCTCTCATAACAAAATGTAATGTGTGATGACAAAGATTTAAATGTCAATGTCCTTCGTACAAGATTGTTAGTTGTTTTATGGGACAAAGTTCAGCGTTGATACATTAAGTACAGGATCGATGCATTAAGAGCTAACATTTGTTACAGGTCGTACTTTCCCCGGCCACCCCTACTTTTCTACCCAGCTGGGACCGGGACAACTGGTGCTGTACAACCTCCTCAAGGCATACAGTCTGCTCGACAAAGAAGTTGGTTACTGTCAGGGCCTCAGCTTCATCGCTGGCATCCTCATCATGCATGTATGTAGACAGTTTTAGGCTTTAACCAGCATCTCCCTCGTAGATATACCTATGTTAATGTCTACATTATCAGGCCTCAGCTTCATTGCCAGTATCTTTTCACATCCACATACAAACACCATACAACAGCTTCAGCATCATGTAAATATACAATTTTAGTATGTCAGCTTCATCACCAACTTAACCACATACCTGAACTTATACAATATTAAATCTGTGGTATACAAGTTCTGTATTTATAGTACTAGCCCACAGGCAGATTTTGAAAATTATACTTGTCTGACCAATATAAAGTAAATATTGAAAGTTTTCATTAACCCAACATAAAATCTTCTAGCAGACTTGAGCTGGGGCATAAGGCTAGTCAAGATGTACACCCCAGTTAGTAAGTGCTTTAACTTCATCACTGACTTCCTTCTAATACGTGAACTTGACAATAGCTCTAGTGTTTCATCTTCAACATTGGCTTCCTATTAATATATATATAGTGTCAGGACCTCGGCATCATGGCAAGCATGTAAATCTTCATACTTCACAAATTATCTGTAACAGAAGCTGCGACTCTGTTACCTTATGCTATGTGACAATTTATAAACAGCTTGTCCTTTGTCCTACAAGATGGATGAAGTCCTTGCCTGGGAGACATTGCGTCACATGATGTTCAACCTTGGACTTCGGCGACAATTTCAGCCCAATATGATGCCCTTACAGGTAAATATTAACATGGTTGCCAAGAGGTTAACTCTATTTGTGTAGCAATTGTCTTAAAAAATTAAATAGATAACCCTCATGTCGAAAGTGGAAGAAAAGACAACAACTGCATTAACAAATGTTAAATTTGTTGTTTACGTTGAACAGACAAGGTTATTTCTACTATGTAGATATTTTTAGTTCCAACCAACTCATTTTGAATTTGGTAGGTTGTATGTCAGCTAGGCTTGTGTAGGGTCTTTCCTCACATCGCAACACTCAGTATAAGCAGATGATGATATATCAGAGAAATGATGTCCATCAGAAGCATTACATGTCATATCAAGAACTCCCAATATCACAAACATTCTTAAAAGAAATTTCTTTATTAAGGTTTTTACATAAGAAAACTTCATTGGCATTATGGAAAAATTCTTGTTTAAGACTTTTTCCTTTTGAATATTTAAAGTTAAGGAATTTCGTTACGGAACGTCAGTAAAACTGGCCCAACATAAAACTAACCCTTGGTTGAGATTTCTCTGTATAGTATCTCATCTGTATTAAAACTCCTTGCAAGATTTGAGTATTAACTCCCTTTGACTGTTGACTTCTCTGTTAACAAGATAATGTTGTACCAGCTGACGAGGTTGATCCACGATAACTATAGGGATCTCCACGACCACTTTGAGGACTACGAAATCGCTCCAAACCTCTACGCCACGCCCTGGTTCCTCACACTGTTCGCCTCTCAGTTCCCTTTAGGATTCGTCGCCAGAATGTTTGGTAAACATATAAAATCTGTCGTACATGTATTGTACAGGGTTTTGTTTTCTTTTGATTATCATTTATATAATTTCTGATGTGTATAACAAATCTCCATTTACACGGTCCATTTATCCTACATGGAATTTATGTGATGTTTAAAGGGTAAAACTTCCTGCCTTAAGTAACACAGATGTGTTTGACCAGATATTGGGTCTTGTACTAGATGTGTGTATGGTGACCAGATATTGGGTTGTGTACTAGATGTGTGTATGGTGACCAGATTACCGGTTATAAAATCATTACCTGTAACTGAGCGAAATCAGGTTAATTCAGTCAAGGGTTAAGATTCTGTAACAAAATCCCAATTAGGATGTTACAAAATCTCAGCCCAAGACTGAGATATCCCGATCTTGCTCAGTTACAGGTAATTGATTTTTTTTCTCGCACCTTTTAGTTCGAAAAAAAAAAAAATCAATTTTGCTAAAAACTACTAGTAACCCTCCTTGGGCTTCAAGTGATAATGACCTCTTCACTACTTAAGTTACATTTGAATGCTTCCGCGTAAAAACATAGTCTGTCCTTACATAGATTAAAACATATTTCGCAGTGTTGATTATATTTTATCTACAACATCAAATATCTGACAATATCGAAACTATACATACAACGGCAAAACAGAACATTTAAAATGCAAATTGTCTATTTCAAGCAGTTAACGGGCGGATAAATACATCGCAGTGTAAAAATTCCGCAAAATGTCAAGTAAAGGTACCAGACAGATCGGACGAGATAGAAAAATCTAGCATGGGGTATGACTAAGATATCTCTGTCTGAGGTGCGAGAAATTGGGTCTTGTACTAATGTGTATATGGTGACCAGATATTGGGTTGTGTACTAGATGTGTTTTTGGTGACCAGATATTGGGTTGTGTACTAGATGTGTGTATGGTGACCAGATATTGGGTCGTGTACTAGATATGTGTTTGGTGACCAGATATTGGGTTGTGTACTAGATGTGTGTATGGTGACCAGATATTAGGTCGTGTACTAGATGTGTGTTTGGTAACTAGATATTAGGTTGTGTACTAGATGTGTGTTTGGTGACCAGATATTGGGTCGTGTACTAGATATGTGTTTGGTGACCAGATATTGGGGTGTGGACTAGATGTGTGTATGGTGACCAGATAGTGGGTCGTGTACTAGATATGTGTTTGGCGACCAGATATTGGGTTGTGTACTAGATCTGTGTATGGTGACTAGATATTAGGTTGTGTACTAGATGTGTGTTTGGTGACCAGATATTGGGTTGGGTACTAGATGTGTGTATGGTGACCAGATATTAGGTTGTGTACTAGATGTGTGTATGGTGACCAGATATTGGGTAGTGTATACGTACTAGATGTGTGTATGGTGACCATATATTTGGTTTTGTACCAATTGTGTGTATGTTGACTAGATATTAGGTTGTGTACTAGATGTGTGTTTGGTGACCAGATATTGGGTCTTGTACTAGATGTGTGTATGGTGACTAGATATTGGGTCTTGTACTAGATGTGTGTATGGTGACCAGATATTAGGTTGTGTACTAGATGTGTGTATGGTGACCATATATTTGGTTTTGTACCAATTGTGTGTATGTTGACTAGATATTAGGTTGTGTACTAGATGTGTGTTTGGTGACCAGATATTGGGTCTTGTACTAGATGTGTGTATGGTGACTAGATATTGGGTCTTGTACTAGATGTGTGTATGGTGACCAGATATTAGGTTGTGTACTAGATGTGTGTATGGTGACCATATATTTGGTTTTGTACCAATTGTGTGTATGTTGACTAGATATTAGGTTGTGTACTAGATGTGTGTTTGGTGACCAGATATTGGGTCTTGTACTAGATGTGTGTATGGTGACTAGATATTGGGTCTTGTACTAGATGTGTGTATGGTGACCAGATATTAGGTTGTGTACTAGATGTGTGTATGGTGACCATATATTTGGTTTTGTACCAATTGTGTGTATGTTGACTAGATATTAGGTTGTGTACTAGATGTGTGTTTGGTGACCAGATATTGGGTCTTGTACTAGATGTGTGTATGGTGACTAGATATTGGGTCTTGTACTAGATGTGTGTATGGTGACCAGATATTAGGTTGTGTACTAGATGTGTGTATGGTGACCAGATATTGGGTTGTGTACTAGATGTGTGTATGGTGACCAGATATTGGGTTGTGTATACGTACTAGATGTGTGTATGGTGACCAGATATTAGGTTGTGTACTAGATGTGTGTATGGTGACCAGATATTGGGTTGTGTACTAGATGTGTGTTTGGTGACCAGATATTGGGTTGTGTACTAGATATGTGTTTGGTAACCAGATATTAGGTTGTGTACTAGATGTGTGTTTGGTAACCAGATATTGGGTTGTGTACTAGATATTTGTATGGTGACCAGATATTGGGTTGTGTACTAGATGTGTGTTTGGTGACCAGATATTAGGTTGTGTGCTAGATATGTGTTTGACGACCGATATTGGGTCGTGTACTACATGAATGCCTTTCCTGTTGTAGACCTGTACCTGATGCAGGGAGTAGAGGTGCTACTCAAGGTTGCTCTTGTATTGCTAGGCAACCACAAAGAGCTCATCCTGCAATGTGACTCATTTGAGGGCATTGTAGAATTCATAAAGACAACACTTCCAGAAATGGGCATCATACAAATGGAGAGGGTCATCAACCAGGTACATCAACATACGGCATACGGCATTCATTACACAATGAAAAGTTTTTTTGTTTACATTAATTCTTTGTATATCAAATAATATGGGGGCTTTCAATCTTCAATCTTCGATCCCCTGTGGACAAATTACTACTTTTGGACTTCAATCTATTGCAAACAAGTTGATTGGGTATATTTCTCCTAATATATTAGGGGCATTTTTAATATTAACAGTAGACAGGTGGATTGTGCAGTAAAACCTGATATTGACATTTCATCCAGCAAAGTTTCGGTGCTAGAATGGCAGTTTGTGACATAGAGGGAAATGCATCAAATAGTTGTTTTAAAAGAAGAAAAAACGAATTGATAATGAAATGACTTTAATTTATTGAGTTTTATTATATATTAACAATGGGCATAGTGTCAAGGTTTTGCTACATATAAACTAGAGGCACTGGATCAAGTTTTAACTGTATTATAACAAAGGGCAATGTATTGAGGGCTTTCATTATGTCAAGGTTTCTCTGTATAATAACAAAGGGCAATGTATTGAGGGCTTTCATTATGTCAAGGTTTCTCTGTATAATAACAAAGGGCAATGTATTGAGGGCTTTCATTATGTCAAGGTTTCTCTGTATAATAACAAAGGGCAATGTATTGAGGGCTTTCATTATGTCAAGGTTTCTCTGTATAATAACAAAGGGCAATGTATTGAGGGCTTTCATTATGTCAAGGTTTCTCTGTATAATAACAAAGGGCAATGTATTGAGGGCTTTCATTATGTCAAGGTTTCTCTGTATAATAACAAAGGGCAATGTATTGAGGGCTTTCATTATGTCAAGGTTTCTCTGTATAATAACAAAGGGCAATGTATTGAGGGCTTTCATTATGTCAAGGTTTCTCTGTATAATAACAAAGGGCAATGTATTGAGGGCTTTCATTATGTCAAGGTTTCTCTGTATAATAACAAAGGGCAATGTATTGAGGGCTTTCATTATGTCAAGGTTTCTCTGTATAATAACAAAGGGCAATGTATTGAGGGCTTTCATTATGTCAAGGTTTCTCTGTATAATAACAAAGGGCAATGTATTGAGGGCTTTCATTATGTCAAGGTTTCTCTGTATAATAACAAAGGGCAATGTATTGAGGGCTTTCATTATGTCAAGGTTTCTCTGTATAATAACAAAGGGCAATGTATTGAGGGCTTTCATTATGTCAAGGTTTCTCTGTATAATAACAAAGGGCAATGTATTGAGGGCTTTCATTATGTCAAGGTTTCTCTGTATAATAACAAAGGGCAATGTATTGAGGGCTTTCATTATGTCAAGGTTTCTCTGTATAATAACAAAGGGCAATGTATTGAGGGCTTTCATTATGTCAAGGTTTCTCTGTATAATAACAAAGGGCAATGTATTGAGGGCTTTCATTATGTCAAGGTTTCTCTGTATAATAACAAAGGGCAATGTATTGAGGGCTTTCATTATGTCAAGGTTTCTCTGTATAATAACAAAGGGCAATGTATTGAGGGCTTTCATTATGTCAAGGTTTCTCTGTATAATAACAAAGGGCAATGTTTCAAGGTTTTATTCTATCTAAATATTTGTATTGTATCAAGGTTTTACTTTATGTAAGCATAGTGCATTGGGGTGTTGATTAAATGTATGAATAAGGGAAATTGAATAAAAGGAATAGCATAATTTATCCAAGTTTCATACTGAATATCAATGAGCTGACATGTCTGTGACAGGTGTTATACCATATATAAATGAGTTGACATGTCTGTGACAGGTGTTATACCTTATATAAATGAGTTGACATGTCTGTGACAGGTGTTATACCATATATAAATGAGTTGACATGTCTGTGACAGGTGTTATACCGTCTATTAATGAGTTGACATGTCTGTGACAGGTGTTATTCGGTATATAAATTAGTTGACTTTTCTGTAACAGATATAATACCATATATTAATGAGTTGACATGTCTGTGACAGGTGTTATACCGTATATTAATGAGTTGACATGTCTGTGACAGGTGTTATATTATACATAAATGAGTTGACATGGCTGAAACAGGTGTTATACTGTATACAAAAGAGTTGACATGTCTGTGACAGGTGTTATACCTTATATAAATGAGTTGACATGTCTGTGACAGGTGTTCTACCATATATAAATGAGTTGACATGTCTGGGACAGGTGTTATACCGTCTATTAATGAGTTGACATGTCTGTGACAGATGTTATTTGGTATATAGATTAGTTGACTTTTCTGTAACAGATATAATACCTTATATTAATGAGTTGACATGGCTGTGACAGGTGTTATACTGTATTCAAAAGAGTTGACATGTCTGTGACAGGTGTTATACTTTATATTGATGAGTTGACATGTCTGTGACAGGTGTTATACCGTATACAAATGAGTTGACATGTCTGACAGGTGTTATACCGTATATTAATGAGTTGATATGTCTGTGACAGGTGTTATACCATATTTTAATGAGTTGACATGTCTGTGACAGGTGTTATACCATATATAAATGAGTTGACATGTCTGTGACAGGTGTTATATTATATATAAATGAGTTGACATGGCTGAAACAGGTGTTATACTGTATACAAAAGAGTTGACATGTCTGTGACAGGTGTTATACTGTATATTGATGAGTTGACATATCTGTGACAGGTGTTATACCGTATACAAATGAGTTGACATGTCTGACAGGTGTTATACCGTATATTAATGAGTTGACATGTCTGTGACAGGTGTTATACCATATATTAATGAGTTGACATGTCTGTGACAGGTGTTATTCCGTATATAAATGAGTTGATATGTCTGTGACAGGTGTTATACTATATATAAATGAGTTGACATGTCTGTGACAGGTGTTATACTGTATATAAATGAGTTGACATGTCTGTGACAGGTGTTTGAGTTGGACATCACCAAACAGCTGCATGCTTATGAGGTAGAGTACCACGTCCTGAGGGAGGAGATGATGTACTCTCCGTCCAAAGGTGAGGCTGACATCATCCACAAACTGGAGGAAGCCAATCAGAACCTGAAGCACCAGAACGTGGAGCTGCTGGAGAAGCTTCAGTACTGTAACAGTCAACAGCGTAGTCTGGATAGCACCATACACAGCCTACAGACAAAGGAGGCCAAGCTTAAGTCGCACATCAAGACACTGGAGATTGAGCGCAAAGCTCTGCTTAATGCTGTTACCAAACTCAAACAACTGGTGTCTGAAGATGAATTTCAAAAGTTGGACATTTGTTTACCTCCGATGGCTCCTAGTCTGCCATCGTCACCATGTCATCAGCCAATTGGGGGTGCTAGTGCAGCCATGCGGACTATAAATAATAAGTTGGCAGTGAAGCGTGATTCTCACTGACCTTGACTGATCTACGTATTAATTAGTGTAGCATTATGGTGATGGAAAGGCAGAGCAGGTGAATGTGGAGTGGATGAATATAAGAACAAATGTTTTCTGCTGATGTGGTGATAAGTGATGATTTCGTTGAGGATATCTCTCTAGCGATACTTTCTCTTCTTGAGTAACCATAGCAACTTCATGATGATTCCTCTAGCATTACTCTCAAGTAACCAGGACTTGAAGCAGCTGTCCTTAATTGTGCCGTGGCCTCTATGTAGATGGTGGCTTCTGCTAATTTGCTTAAATTTTGTTTCAAAAATATGAAATAATTGATAATTGTCGTCACTAGTGTTGTTAAGCTTCTTTATATCAAATTAAAATCAATGTTATTTTTTCAAAATTAGAACTGAAAACAAAAACATAGCATTTGTTACATCACACTCCCATACATTTATTGATTTGTGTTGAATTAAATGTTCTTACCATTCTCATATACAGTGCAATCGATATATATTGGACAGTAATAATTAATGTTAAATTTCTTTCTCAATTGTATTATTTTTTCTATAAATTAGTGCAATCATGTTGGACTGTATATGTTTTGTAAGCTTTGTAATCATGCAAAGTGGAATGAAAAGTATGAAGTTTAACTATTTTATTGATTTGATATCCTCCTCTGTAAACAGTGATAGTTTGTAATATTTACTCGACTGATTCTTGTTACCTTAGCAACTGTTGATTGTGGCTAGCTTAACCATATACAGTTAGGGACTGTTGTGAATCCTCAACATCTGTAAAAAATTCCTTTCACCAGAAAGCATGCTCTTTGGACATTTTCGTTGAGGAGGTCTCTATCTGGACCCTTTTGAGGAACTTAAATATGTTCAAAGAGGTTAAGTTATTGCGACATGAATCTCCTTTTTAAAACAGTTCTGCTCTAGTAAACCTGTGAAATGTGCTTATCATTGACAGATTGTAAAGACTTACCACACATTTGAGATTCACACCAATGCCTGCATTTATTGCTTTGCATTAATTTCCAATAATTAGATTGTGCTAATTAAGGTGTTAAGACAATTCACAATTGTAATCAGTAAGGGAGATCACTCTTACACAAACTTTTGCTTATCCTGGTTAAAATGGTTCAGGTGGTGCTGAAATATTCCATTATTGATACACGAATTAGACTGGAAGTTTGACAACCATATAGGTAGATCTAAAAATACAATTTCGGGTGTGTTTTTTTAGAAATAAATAACAATAAACCAGGAATTATATGTTCTTCTTTTACCAGTGTATTGAATCTGACAACACATTCTGAAATGTATATTTGAATCGATCTTATAATGTTTTATGTAAAACAATACTACAAACTAACAATTATTGGACATTTTAGTATTTTTTTACATGTAACATCTTGAACCTGGATAAGCACACAACAATTATTGCAGATATCAGTGTCAGCTCTGATCTGTGCCTGTCATTTTCTTTTTAGTTTTTGCCAGTTGAAACATTTGAACTGTCAGCAAAAGTGTGTAAGGTTAATGTGTATGGGAGATACCTCTAACACAACTCACAAGGATAAAGAAGCATGTATCTTAGGTGATGAATCCTATTCTAGAAAACTCACACTGACTGACTTGAAAGATGTGCCGACACACACAGTTGCACTAACCTTATATCCCTATTTGATACATACACTGATATTTTGTCTTGCAATTTCTTTTGTATAAATCATTTTCTTCTGAGGAATTTTATTTTACATTATAAAAATATGCTGCTGAAATATACAAATGTTTCCATTGTAGTTTACCATTTATTATTCTTTATGCTTTTGGTTCCTTTTACCATTATAAGTTGTTATTGTTTACATGAAACCATATGTCGCCCAACCAGGTTATTTTGAGACAATATGCCTTTGATAATGTTTACAGTCTTTTCATGAATGTGATAGAATAAAATTTATTACATACTTACTAATAAATACAGGTTTTTAACTAGCCTGACCTGAAGGGCCAAGTGAGCTTATGGCATGGTGCGCCCTCCGTCCGTCCTCCGTCTGTCCTCCGTCCAGCGTCAACTTTTTACTTTAAACAACTTCTTCTGAATAACCAAGAGGCCCAGGCTGATGATATTTTGCCAGTAGCATGCTGGGATGAAGGGCTACCAAGTTTGTTCAAATGAATGACCTTGACCCACTTTCAAGGTCACATGGGGTCAAATGTCGTAAAATCTTCAAACCACTTCTTCTTCATAATCAAAAGGCCCAGGGTACTGAAATTGGGCCTGTAGCATGCTGTGATGAAGGACTACCAAGTTTGTTCAAATGAATGACCCACTTTCAACCTAATGTCCTTGTTCGACATTCAAGTTCACAGGCGTCATATGTTTAAATCTTTTAATAGGTTCTTATGAAATCTTAAGATAACAAGTGTTAGATTAATAACAGGTGAGCGATGCAGGCCCATTGGGCCTCTTGTTATATTTAACCATACATTTTCATAATACATATATCCTGATTTCATTCACCATTCAAATTTTATAGTAAAGTAGCTTTCTGTTAAGGGAGTGGATATGTCCAGAATAAATCTTTTCTTTATGACCTTTTCTTCATTTACACTGTGAACACTTTAAAACAGGTAGGTGTTGTTACAGTTGTGGGACCGCACAACGCACCAAAAATAGCGTGCGCACACCGTGCATACATCGTTCACACACCGTCCGCACATCGTCCACACATGGTGCGCACAACTGTGCGATTTAGCAATCGTTCGCCCCGTTGTGCGCTTCTCTCCGCACAACTGTGCGATTTGGTATCATTTGTAGATAAAAATTACGGAATGACAAAAATACGGAAGGCTTGTATGCGATAATGTACACTGTGTATATATCTGTAATTTCTCATCACAATAATCAAGATTATACAATTTCACAATGCGTGTTACACAGTATTACAGCGACCGTTAGGCTGTCAAGAATGGGTTTGGCTCCAAGGTAACAGAACAGGTAAATAACAATTTTATGAGTGTCCGGAGTTTTACCTGACCAGTGCCTGACACACAGAGCTGATATGCGATACCGTTTGACCGTAATGAATAGTATTTGTTATTTGCATTCGTTTGCCTATAGCTCCCCTTCACCTGGATTTTCACACCCCCGGCCTTACCCGACGAGTTACGTAAGTGCCCCAGGCGGGGAGAAAACTACGGTCCAGGTACATGTACAAAGTGGTTATGTTTACCTGTATACGGAATTGTGTTGTAATTTTACATGTGTAAATTAAGTTTGTTTAAAAACACAGAAAACACAATTTCTAAATATAAGAATGTATAGACAGAAAGATAAGTTTATAGATGTTGCTAGAATATAGAAACAATGTAACATCAAGTTTATATGTTTCAACACGAAACCGTATAAATTGTTAAGGCATTCAGCAATTTACACCAACCACGATTTTTATCGCACAACGTCCGTCCATCGTGCGCACAGATGTGCGCAAGCAATGATAGTCCAGCTTTTTATCGTTTGCCCATCGTGCACACACCGTTCACACACGGTGCATACATCGTGCGCACACCTCACATTGTGTAACGTTGTGCGATCCCACAACTGTACCTGTAACTCCGTTGAAAGACAACAATGAGGTAATGGTGATGGATACAGCCATAAATTAATAGACTATCTCAGAGTCTAAACTTAACGTATTGTAGATGCAGTTAGGCATTCTGTTTTAGATTGTAATAATTTTAAGATATGGGGGTTTGTTTGGAGCAAAGACTAGTTAAAAGAGCTTATTTAATTCCATGGTTAAGATACAATTGTTATTATGTTGTGATTGTAACTGCCAGGGACGTAACCAGGACTATGAGTATGTGGAAGCATATACGAAGCGCGGAGTAGGGGGTGGGTTCGGGAGGGGGGTTACCCCCTCCTGAGTTTGGGGGGTTCCGGGGGGGCTTGTAGTATTTTGTTTCAAAGGCATAATAATTAGTTCCATATGAACAAGGAACATTTTCTTTAAATAGTCAATAAAAGAAACAATATCAATGAGATAATGAATTCACTGAGGGCCCAGGATTATATGAGTTGTTAAAGTTTATCACATACAGTTCTACGATGTGATCCTTGTTAAAAGTATACTTAAAAAAATTACGTGGAAGCCCGTGCGTCCGTGCGTACGCCTGGTTACGTACCTGACTGCTATTGAAGATATTTTGTTGGTTGTTCCTGTTTACCTATGGTAGTAATATTTTTATTGTCCTAGACTGTTGAGAGATTTAGTATCTATTGTCCTAGACTGTTGAGAGATTTTGTCTCTGTTGTCCTAGACTGTTGAGAGATTTAGTCTCTATTGTCCTAGACTGTTGAGAGATTTTGTCCTAGACTGTTGTGAGATTTTGTCTCTATGTATACTCTCTCTGTGATGACACAGTGTGTCTGTTGATATGTTATTGTCACTTCATGTTTCTGCCGTCCTCTTAGGATATCAGGAAATTCATTTCCTGTTGATGTTTATCAGGAAATACGTTTCATGTTGATATTTTCATAGTCCTGGTTAAAACTTCCGTAATAAGATCAAGATCATAATTATATATTTTAAAATTGCAATAACAAGATGCTGTCACACCTCCCCATTTTCTTTCATTTTCAATGAATTTTCTTAACTTTAGCAAAATTCTTCGATCTCAATTAATTTCACAATTTTGTGGTTAGCACATCTTATTTTTTTTATACCATATGTAGATATTTTTGATGATATTTTCCACTTAAAACATCTTTGATCTCAATTTTCTTTTTATATGTATGTAGTTAGATTTAATATTTACTCTCTAAGTTTGTTTCTGTTTGAGCATTATGTACTTCAAATGATATTAGCTGATCTTCTCCGTTCATATAGGTTACAAAAGTAAAACCGGTGAGTAACCAATTATCAGTAGACGTAACTGTTGTGAGTGAATAGTGTCAATTGGTGCCTGGTCTAATCCAATAAAGCCACACAGTTAAGCCACACACAGAACGGCATTTACGATGTCACACAGGACTATTACAAGTAGTAGCCACAGTGGTTTGTAATACGTATACCAGTCTCGCTAATTCATTGCACTCTGCTAAATTAGCTAAAGAGTAATTAGGGCCCCGTATCAGAGATACGGGTGCCCTATAGTAATCACTCTGTCTGTCTGTCTGTCTGTCTGTCTGTCCATCTGTCCGTCCACAAATTTTGTTCCTGGCTGATAACTTTGGTATTTATTGACCAATGTACATGAAACTTGGTCAAGATGTTCAGTTCACAAAAATACACAAATTTTGCATCTTTTCACTGATGAACATTTTGTTATGACAGGATGAAGCAAAGTTTATCAGAATTAAACAAGGAGTCAACCTGACCAAATGTCAAGGTCATTGGGTCAAAGGTCAAGGTTAAATTTTGTATCTTTTCACTCATGAACATTTTGGTATGACACTTTGAAGCAATGTTGCTCAGAATTAAACAAGGAGTCAATTGACCAAAGGTCAAGGTAACTGGGTCAAAGGTGAATGTTAAATTTTGTATATTTTCCCTAATGAACATTTTGTTATAATATTATGCAGCAATGTTGGTCAGAATTAAACAAGGAGTCAATTGACCAAAGGTCAAGGTCACTGGGTTAAAGGTCATGGTCAAATTTTGTATCTTTTCCCTGATTAACATTTTGTTATGACTTTATGAAGCAAAGTTGGTCAGAATTTAACAAAGAGTCATTTGACCAAAGGGCAAGGTCACTGGGTCAAAGGTCAAGGTCAAATTTTGTATCTTTTCAGTGATGAACATTTTGTTATGACATTATGAAGCAAAGTTGGTCCGAATTTAAAAAGGAGTCAACTGACTTAAGGTCAAGGTCAATTATTGTATCTTTTTACTGATGAACTTTTTTTATGTTATCATGTAGCAAACTTGTTCAGAACTTAACACAGAGTCAACTGACCTTAGGTCCAGGTTACAGGGTCCAAAGGGTCAAGGTCAAGTTTTGTATTTTTCACTGATGAACATTTTGTTATGATATTATGAAGCAAAGTTGGTCGGAATTAAAGAATAAGTCAACTGACCAAAGATCAGGGTCACTGGGTTAATGGTGAAGGTCATTTGGGTCCAAAGGTCAAAGACAAAGTTGATCTCTGACTTTGACCCTGGCGCTTGATGGAGGAGGTATATAAGGTGAAATAAAACAAATCAAAGCTAACAAATGAGTATTGCACCGGTATTTACATTTCAGTTAGTTAGCCCAGCAAATATGGAGGTGGGAGGAAAAACCTGACCTCATAGTACATGTAAAATGTATATTTTGCTTCCTTGCGATTCTTTATGAAGTCCAAATGTCAAATGTCAAGCTCAGCTATATGGGCAGATTGCTTCTTGATTATTATGGGGGGTATATTGCCACAAGACGGGGCCCTTACTGACCTGTCAGTGTTCTAGTTCTCCCTATAGCTGAGTCGGTGGGAAATGCTTATAATTACTACCCTATATAACATACTTGTCAACTCTCCCGATTTTGGACCCAAAAATAGAGCATATTCAACCAGTGAATTTGCTAAACTATTCATATATTCTAACATCTAATGATTTCATCTGAAAGAACAGCACAAAAGATGGCATTTAAAAGAGTTGTTTTTCCCCCGAGGATGTACAATTCTGAGCAGGCGTAATCTCCCCCATGGAATTTTTAAAAAGTTAGCAAGTATAATATAAGGTGACATTCATGTAGGTCCATTGCATACTTGCCAACTCTCTGTATTTAGGATGGAGACTCCCAATTTTAGACCCTTAGATTTAATACTTCCAACAAGTGAATTCGCTAAACCATTCCGATATTCTAGGATCTAATTATTTAATCTGAAAGAACAATTAAAAAAAAAATGTGTATAGGTTGATTTTGTCTCTAGCAAGTATTTACACACATTTTATTGATGTTTTTAATGTTGAGCACAATCTTCCCCATAGACATTTCAACAGGTTGACAAGTATGGTATTAGGTAAACAAGGTATATGTTTAGATACCCTCAATAACTCTTATTGTTTCTGTTTGAAGCACAAATACAAAGATATTCATTCATGTGTCCTTAGGCAAGTATATATAATGGTTGAGTTTGTTATAATACCTGAATA